CGGGGACACCTGCGCCCGCCTGGCGCTGAGCAGGCGGCCCCCGGATTCGAGCGGTCAGCGCTCCCCAGAGGGGCTATGCTCCTCCAGATCCCCGAGACCAACCGGTGGACGGCGGGGACGGGCGGGAGTAAGGGGCTGAGTGGGAACACGAACAGGCTGGGTGAGCTCCCTGCTTTCAGTGGATCTAGACGTGAGAAATTTATTGAAAAGTCTCCTTTATTTCTTTCTTTCTTTTTCGCTCTGGAACGTTGGGGAAAAGCGGCCAGGAAGTTTTCCTCCTCCGGCTTGGCGACTGTTGCTTGGCGCGGGGAGGGGACGGGCCCAGGAAGGAGGGTGGGCTTGAAGGGAGCAGCGGGCGCGGTGACCCCTTCCTGCGACACGCGGCCCGAGACCGTTTGTGCCCGTGGGTGACTTCCTGCCTACTTCCACCTCCCTGCAGGTGAAAACTTTTGGCTCCTTCGGAAACGGCCACCAGGACAACTTGACTATGTACATGGATTTAGTGGATGGCATCTTTTTGAACCAAATTATGCTGCAAATGTAAGTTGCTTGCTTCAGAGGGAAAGGGAAGAATGGTTTTTTAGGGGGGTTAAAGGGGAAATGCAAGGGGGCCAGGGGACCACGCAGGTTAGTACAGCGGTGCCTCTGCGACTCTTGGGTGTGTGAATACCTTCAGGACTAGACTCCGGCGGCTTGTTGGATGCAGGACATTTGGAATTGACTGTCACCCACACAGACATTGCAGTTGACTTCACACTCAAGAACGTAACTGTGGCCTGAGCATTGAAGTGGAGAAGCCCCTTTTCTTTTTGGGGTCACAGAACTATAACTGGAGTGTCTGGTTACAGGAAGTGGGGGGTGGGCCGAGAGCATCCGAGGGTGACAGTGAAGTTTCGCCCTAGGCTAGGTGCTGGTGCAGGTGCTCCTGAGCGGCCTTGTGTTTCCTTTTCCAGTTTCTTCAGAGCCAGTGCCTGGCTCTAAGTGTCCTCCTGTGGGCACAGGGAGTCGGATGCTGGGGTGGCCTAAGCTTGGTGTGAGTGGAAGTTGCACTCACTAGCATGTACATACATCGGGCCGCATCCTTTCCTGTTGCTACTCTGCAGAGCCCGTCACTCTGTCTGATTGACAGCCTGCCGCCATGTAGGTGTTGGTTTCCACCGCTGCATTCTGTTTTTAACTCAGAAACGGCAATGAACATATTGCAGCTCAGAGTCAGTATGATTCACAGGCACTTGAAGCAAAATAAAACATCCGGATGTTCTCTTGGATCAGCCTCTACCTTCACCTGCTCACCTACCAGGGGTACATTGTCATGCTTGAGCATAAATCCATTAGCTAATGAGAATCAGCTTCGTTTGTGCCCAGCAAAGGAGAGGGAGCAGTTTGGTGTGTGCAGAAATGGTTTAAATAGATTCTACCTAAAAAGTATGTGTTAAGAAATTTTCTTGATTTTATTGCTCCTTGTGTTTTCTTAAATCATTTGGTGTCGCTCTGTGGGAGAGACTGTGCCATTTTCAGTTTTTTTAAAAAGGTGTTACTGAACTTAGCAACTTTCAATATTTGACCAGATTCTAACAGGAAAATCTGTGATTTTTGGGAGCCCTGGTAGTGCTTCCCAGAGACAGCTGAGGAAAATGAGTGTGGTGGGGGTTGCCCCGAGCCCTCCCCCACCTCCAAGCATTTCTAAACTCCAGCATTACTGGGTCCCCTCAGTGCAGCCACTAGCGAAACTTTAACCTGTCCCTCCCCAAGGCCGAGACTGTTTAATTAAGAAACCCAGCAGTTCCCCCAGACTCCATTCAGCTGTGACTCCGGGAGCAGGGGAGAACAAGAGCCCCTGGGCCTGTTTCTCTTTCTTCCCTGACCTTTGGAATTCGGAGCAGTTACCACTTGCTTGTAAATCAGGGAAGCCTGTTGGACCTTTCCTTTGAGAAAGGCCAGCTCATCACTTGTTTGTGTTTGGCCCGGGGCTTCTCTGATCCCCAGGTCATTTTAAATGTCATTTTCTCTCTGGGATAAGTCAGAGTGGTTGTTCTGGAAGTGGGACGTTTGTGGCACAAAGGAAGGGAACTGGAGCAGAGGAGGATCATTGGCCTCTGGAATCGGGAGAGTGGAATCCACGTGGCAGTAGTTTGGCTGGGGTTAGAGTAACGTAGCTCCACGTAGCAGGAGTCAGAACAGTGTTTGCCTCTGGAAGTGGGTGGAGATTGGGGTAAAGCAGTCACAGGTAACTCTTGCGGGTAGTGGAGATGTTCTGTGAAGTATGATTTGCATCCTAAAAACCGTCAAGCTATAATTTAACTTTTTTTGTGGCGGGGACTGGAGATTGAACTGAGGACCTTGTGCTTACTAGGCAGGTGGTGGCACCACTGAGCTAAATCCCTGGCCCTCAAGCTGTAATTTAAGATAGCACACTTTTTGTGTTTTGTCAACTAGAAAACAAACAGTGACAAAAGAAAAGAAACACTGAACCTGGCATGGTGGTGTTGTACACCAGTAATCCCAGTACTCTCGGAGGCTGAAACAGGAGGATCTTAGCCTTGGTAATTCAGTGACTTAGTGCGATCCCATCTCAAAATATGGGCATGTGGCTCAGGATGAAGGCACTGTGTTCAATCTCCAGTACAGCAAAATTGAAAAAAAAGAAATTAATAGAGGTTGGAGTGTGGCTCAGTAGTGGAATATTCACTTTGTATGTGCAAGGTCCTGGTTGTGAAAACCAGCAGCATAAAAAATAGTCAATAAAAAGAACTTGAGCTGGGTGTGGTGGCAGGAGGATTGTCTGGAGTTTGAGGCCAGCCTGAACTACAAAGGGAGACCCTGCCTCAAAAAAAAAACAAAACAAAATAAAACCGAGAGAGAACTTTGGCCTCATTGTTGGACAGCCTGGGTCACCAGCCTGGGTTCGAATCCTGGCTTTCTCCACTGTTAGCATTGTGACACTGGACCTGTTGCTCAGGGTCTTGGTTTCCTCATCTGTGAAATGAGATGTGAAATTCTTCTTTGAAGAGTTTGTTCTGTGGGCTAGTGTGGTGCACACACCTGTGATCCCAGCTGTGGTGGGAGGATTGAACATTCAAGGCCAGCCTGGGCAGTTTCGTGAGAACTTTTCTCAAAAAGAAGAAAAAAATAGGGCTGGGGGCAGGAGTGCAGTTCAGGGGTGGAGCACTTGCCTAGCATGTGAGAGGCTCAGGGATGGCCCTGAAAAAAAAAACAGATAGTTGTGCAGATTAAATGAGGTGATGTGCTAGATTTTAGCTCAGTGTTTGCTGCTAAACAGGTGCTGGTATCAGTGACTTAGTAGGTGCCATCAGACTCCAGAAAAGTTTGTAAGCTCATTGGAAGTTTTCTCCCCCGCTCCAAGTTTACCTTCTATTCTTAGTCCCCCAAATTATTGTGTAATTCTCGGCAGCAGCTCTCATCAGATGGGGTCCAGGTGCCCAAGTCCTAGCCCTGTACCTGACTCTGTGCTTCAGCTGGGCTTCAGTTTTCCCTTCTGCAAAATAGCAGGTGGATGGACCATCGGGCTCTTTCACTTTGTTTTGGTGCTGGGCCAGGGACCTGTAATGATCAGTTCCTCAGGTTGGAAGGTGAGGAAGCAATGGGGCAGGGTTGCTGCCAGCTGCATCTAGGTGCCGGGTGGCAGGGCTCAGATAAGAGGCTGTTACCTAACACTCTGGAGCCATCTGGAGGCTGCCTGGGTCATGTGACCGCACCTGGCCATTGTCTCTGGCAACTCTAGAAGGCTGCAGTAGCAGTCCCTTGGCCCGGGCTTCGCGGTGACATCAGCGCCACCTGGAAGCAGGAGAGCCCTGTGGGCTCAGCTTTCAAGGGAGGCTGGCGTCTAGAATTCCTGAATCCTGAATGAGCAGGAAGGAGAGGCAGGGGCGGCAGAACGGGTCCTCAGGAGCACAGCCTCTGGGGTGCCAAGCTCTGATGAGCTTTGGAGCAGTTTCTAGTCTTCAGGGAATGATTTAAGGGCCTGGACCCTAGCGGCAGGCTGACAGATTCACCTCCTTACCCCAGCGTGTAAGAAGCCCTGCCTCTGAGCCTCAGTCTCCTGATCTACAAGAAGGAGTGCATGTGATGGCTCTGGGGAGGATGAAGATGGTGCAGGTGGAAAATATCCAGCCACATGTCTGTTGTTACCCAGTCCACTGAGGGAGGCCCAGAGTGGGGCCATGAGTGTGTACACGAGGTCGGGTCTTGTGAGGGGGACCTGGGCTGGGGGCTTGTGACATGGAGAAGCTGGTGGCGAGTCCAGCTCGGTTTTGTCTGGCATTCTTGGTGACTCCTTTGTACTAGCGGCCAAATTCAAGGTGATGTGTTAGTTATTCAGAGGCCAGTGGGAGAGAGTCTTCAGCTCAGAAGTCATTTGAGGGGTAATTTCCCCCGAGGTTCTCCAAGAGGAGTTTATGTTCTCATTTTATGGATACAGAAACTGAGTATAAAAAGGCAAATACCTAAGAGCTGAGCGTGGTGGTGCATGTCAGTAATCCTAGCACTCTGGGAGGCTGAGGCAAGAAGATTATACGTTAGAGGGTAGTTTGGGCTTAGTTTAACAAGATCCTGTCTCCAAAAAATGCAAAGGCCCTGGGTTCAGCCCCTCGTACCTTACATGCATACACAAATGGGCACATACCTGTTAGTTGAATGAATTTGTGCTGGTACAAAATGGAACAAAATTTATTTTTCCAAATTTAAGTAACTTTCCTCTGTATCTCCCCCGCTTCCTCTGATACCAGGGATTGAACCCACGATCTTATACATGGCTAGGCAAGTGCTGTGCTGCTGAGCTATACCCCCTAGTCCAATAATTTCCTGTTTTGGTTGTGGCATACCACACACTGCATAGGGGCTTTGATTTCTAAAAGTTTCATGTTCAAGACAGGTGCAGTGGTCCACTCCTGTCATCCCAGCACTTTGGGAGGCTGAAGCAGGAGGATTGCAAGTTCCAACCCAGCCTGAGACCCTGTCTCAAAAGAAAAAAATTTTTAAAAGGCTGGCAATATAGCTCAGTGCCAAGGCCATTGGTTCAACACCCAAAGATCCTTACCCCTCATTTCATGCTCATTGATAGCATAGAAAAATTATTTATTGTTGTTTTTTTTTGGGGGGGGGTGGTACCAGAAATGGATCTTGCACTTGCCAGGACTGGTCAATATCCCCACCCCCAATACATAGTTTTTTTTTTCCTTTCATTGAATTTATAGGTACATTTTAGGTATACAGTACAGTTACATTCATCATTGGGATCTTGGGATCTTTACATGACAGGTCTTGGTTCTCATTTTTTCCCCTTGTCCCTCCCCTCCCTTCACCATAGTTTCTTTATTTAGTTTTAAAGTTTGGAATATGACTAAATATTGGAGTCTGGCTTCCCCAAAGGGAAGGACAAGGTTGCTTAATTCTAACTCACTTTAAAATTATAGTAGAACCCAGACATGGTGGCGCACACCTGTAATCCTAGCACTCTGGAGGCTGAGGCAAGAGGATTACCATGCCTTAAAGGCCAGCCTGGGCTAAATAGTGAGTTTAAGGCCGGACTGAAATACAAAGTGAGACCCTATCTCAAAAAGCAAACACACAACAAAATTGGAACAGGAGTTGATTTCCTTTTCCACTTCGAAGTTTTGAAGAAAAGGAAGCCCTAGGGGCCTCACATTTTGGACTTGGGACTCTCCAGCTTTGCTCCAGCTGCCACACACACCTGCCTGCCTCCTGTCCACTGAGGTCCTGATGTGACACAAGGGCTTTTGTGATGGGGCTGTCGTGTGAAGAGGATGGGTGTTCCTAAGGACCAGGGGGCAGTGCTTGTACAGGGGCTTGTCATATCCCCCAGCATACAGATCCAGGAAGAGTTCAAGTTTGTTAACGCAGCACCTTTCAGGGCTGGAAGGACCTTGGATCTGTTTTGTAGATTAACACAAGGAGGCCCAGATAACTGTGGGCAGTCCTGGAGACAGGGCTGACAGCACAGAGAGGTGGGGGTGGGGCCACTGGGTGGGGTGGAGATGGAACTATGCCTTCCTTATCCAACATCAGGACTTCTGTTTTGATGTGTTCCCTAATAACCCCTCTTTCTAGGGAGCCTTAGTTAAATGAGGGATCACAATAATTAGTCTCATTAGTTGTACAGCAGTGCCAGGGTTCTTTTGGAGTGTTGCTGCAGTTAGCTTTCTTCCCAGACAGGGCAGAATAAAGCAGGGATGGTCAGAGACATCCATGTTTTGAGGTAAGGGACACACCAGCCCTTCACATGCGCAGAGCCTTTGCACTTGAGTGGGCATGCACAGTGCACGCCAGGACTTCGGGCTCCTGCCACGCCTGAGGTGGCCTTGTCTGACTTAAACGAAATCTCAGACTGCAGTGACAATAAAACAGAAGAAGCCCTGCATAGTCTCAGGAGTTCTGCTTGATTGAACCGTGCATCTGTCATTGCGGAGCTGGCTTCTCATCTCTTAAGGTAGCTACAGTCGAGGGATGAGAATTACACCATTATGGGAAATTATTTTGTAATGCTAGGAACACTTACACAGCTAAAAATGCCCCCGTGGTTTAAATTCTGAACACCTCTTCGTTTCCTGAATTAATTTTACTGGAGCGGTAAGCCTTTATTTTCTCAGTAGTCAGTGGCCCCAGGAGAGACACGTAACGTCGGAATGGCGTGGCCATCAGACTCCATTACCATGCGGGAACAGTAAGAAATGTTGTCACCTGACAGTTGAAAAGAGGTTCTCTGGTTGCCCCAAGGTACCCATGGGACTATTTTAGGGGATGTAGATGACTGAGTAAAGTCTGTGGCTGATTGTTAGGTCTGAAAGCGTTTGCATACTGATGATACTGTGTTGAGACTCATGGTGTGGAAGTGAAATATTTATTTAAAGGTTGAACTTTAACAACCTGTGTCACAAAAAAGCATTCTATTTCTAAAATCATTGGAAATTATGTTGACTTGTATTTTTGTTGTTGTTCTCTTTCTCAGTTTTCTATTAATTGTTGGCTTTGAGCTGAATGACATTGAGATTTATTTCCTTGCCTCCCCACACCAGCCCCAGGAGCCCTGCACCTTTGTTGCAGGGCTTAGATGACAGATGAAACCTAGAAGACAGGCCTTTGCTGTCCTTGGGGTGTCTGGGGACAGGACTGGGAGGTTGGTCTTTGTCACGAGAAGCAGCTGCAGCTCACTGCGCTCCATTAAGTGCTCTCGGATCGTCAGAACCAGTTTCCAGCACTCAGGATTTTGAGAAAAATTACCCTGAATATGGATGAGTGAAATTGTAAATCACTCGCTGTAACTTCTGGTCTCTTCTCAGCCCGTCCTGCCTTGCCAGAGGTTGGAAGATCAGTGACACATTGGGGATTCCCCACATGAAGGGTTTGTGTGTCTCTTAGCATTTGTTGCAGGGTGCATTGTGCATGGGAGAGTGTTGCAGACTGAGCATGCCAGGTTTTCATGATGGAATTGTGTCACTGGAATGTAAATCATAGGCAGGACTAGCCCAAGATCAGTGTGGATGCTACGAGGGTAACCTGTTAATTGGAACAGCATGATTTTATTTCTATTTTCTTAGTATTCCACATGCATTGCTTTTAATCTTAAAGTATGTTTTTGGTGAAAGTATTGATTTTTGTACAACCTGGCATTTGGGTCTGCAGTGACAAGGATGTCTCCCACTGGTGCTGCGACAGTGGATGGAGGCAGCTTTGGTGAGGACAGCATGGGCCAGGTGCCCGGTAGGGGAGGAGAAATGTGATTGGCTCCCCCCATCCCTGTTAGGATGAGACTTTAGCCATGCTGTCACAGCCTTGGAGTCACCGAGGGACCAGCATGGCTCAAAGGACCAGAGAACTGAATCTCTGCTCTCCTTCTTCCCCAGAGATCCCAGGCCAACCAACCAGCGCATCAATAAGCACGTCAACAATGATGTGAACCTTCGCATTCAGAACCTGACGGTCCTGGTGCGGAACATTAAGACCTACTATCAGGTAAGGCATCTGCCCTCTCCGGAGTCCTGGTACGCAGCCCCACAGGGACGGTGTGTGAGTTCAGACAGCCGGTCCCTGACCCTGGCATGGGCTGGAGCCCTTTTCTGGGTTTCGTGTGTGGTGAGCTGTCGCATGGCTTCACTTGCTCAGCAAACCTTCCCTGAGCTGTGAGAAGGTCTGTGCCACATGGCACCCAGAGAGCCTAATGATTTGCATCTCCTGTGAAGCAGTGGGGACTCTGAAAGGGGCTTCCTGTCCATGTCCCTGGCTTTCGTACAAAGGATTGGGGAAGGAAGGGACCAGAGAAGAGCTATGGAGTCCTTGCCACGTGGAGAATCCACCGCCTGTATGTAACCACTTCTGATGAGTGTGTGCCTGAAGGGTCAGCCCCTACCAGGCCTTCAGAGAAGGGCAGCCTGGGCCTATTTGATGGTGTATGATCTCTGCATGGCCAGCATGGATGGGGAAGGGACTGCAGCTGTGACTTTGAGCCTGGGTTTTCCAGGCTTTTCCTAGTGGTGACACTTTCTTTCCCCATATGATATTTCTTGAGATCCCAGCTGCAGTCACTTTGGTTATTTTGGGGACTGGGAGACAAGAGTGCCCTCTGTTTTCCGTCTAGTACCCAAGTGAGCACAGTTTGAGAACCACCGCTCAAGAACAGGTCCTCTTTGAGACTCCTGCATAGACTGCCCAGACCTATTCCTAGCACTCGGCATCCTGGGCTGTAACTGTGCAGTGCTGGCATCTGGTGGCCTCTTTATCCTCAGGCTTTGTGAGGTCTCTCTTACATGAGGCCCTGGCCGCCTGGGGGGGTCCTCTCTCCCTGTGTCTGAGCCACTGGCTCTGGGGCCACCTGGGGTACCACTGGGAAGGCCGCCAGGCAACAGTGTCGTGGCACAGGCTGGTCCTGGGCCCAGCTGCTGCCAAGGGTTGTGGTGAGGGTGGGAGCCCTTGCTTCTTTTCAACCTGGATTTGAGGCAGGATGGGATAGGTGGGCATTGTCCCTGCTGTCTGCCATAGTTGCTTCTGTACTCTTCCTATGGGGGTGACAGACCATCAGCACTCAGACCAGACTGTTGGGCATTGGGCTCCATGGGGCTCTGAGCATCACTTGTGGGAGGCTCTGAACCAGCCTGTCCCTCTAGTTACGGATGTTTCAGGAGGAGGCACCAGAGTTGGCTCGGGGGCTGAAGCAGGTTTGTTTCCTGCCAGGAGTCACACTTGAAGCCTGGCATGCTGTGCTCCCCTAGCAGGGGACTTCAGCTAGGGCCTCCCTGTGACCACACGACAGAGTTGAAGGTACTGCCCATAAACGGCATCTGTGGTCCCTGAGTCCAAGGCCACTCCTGGTAAGCAAGTGCGCTGCCTGCTGTGTGCCAGGTGCCACAGGAAGCAGGTGATGCCAGAGGTTCAGGAGGTCAGGCCCCTGATCTAGTCTGTGTGGGGTGAGGTAGGGAAGGCTTCTTGGAAGAGATGACTCCTGGGTGGAGTTTTGTGAGTGACTGAGTTTCCAGGTTTGGAGGGTTACAGGAAGGAGAGACGAGGAGAGGGTGCCTGGGTAGAGCCCAGTATAGTGGCCCAAGGACATCTGTCCCTGATGCTTTTTGAGTCAGTGTTTTCCACAGTTACTTGAATAAAGGTTTGTACACCAAATTTTGGTTGAAGCAAAACTGAGCAGGATGTGAACATGAGAGATGGAAGGTCAGAGCCAGTTGCAGTGGTGCATGCCTTGGGAAACTGAGGCAGGAGCATCACAAGTTCAAGGCCAGTTGAAAAAAAAAAAAAAAAAAGAAGTGAGGGGCTCCATAGCTCAGTGATAGAGCCCTTGCCTAGTATGCAGGGCTGCCCAGAGTCACAGGTATGGTTCTAGCCAGGTGCGCGTCCTGCCCAGGTGTGGGTGGGAAGTTCTTTGAGTCACGTGGAGCAGCCAGGCTCTCACTGCAGCTCTGGACAGGGAAGATATCCTTGGGTCTTGCTGGCCCAGTGGGCCTCGCGCTGTTGGTGATCAGCAGCTCTGCGAGTCCAGATCTGGGCTGGGCAAAGGCCCTGACACCCACTTGTGGTAGCGCTCTTCAGAGGTGGGGCAGCCTCATCCTGAGATCGTGCTCTGTGGAGTTTGCAGGATGGGAAGCTGTCACATGCAGGGAGTGTTGACTGGTCCAGACGCAGCCCCAGAGGGCACCCTGGGGTCCCTCCTCCCTCTTAGCTCTTGAGGGGCAGGGCTAGTGCGTGTCAGTGGCCTTGCCCCAATCAGAGCAGAGCACATGGCACTTTCAGGGAGCTCCTGCTGTGGCCACCAAGTCTTGCTCACCTGAATGTGTCCTGGGCTGACACTGCACCCGTGGTGTCCTGCTGTGTAGTTTTCCTTACCAACTTATGGTAAAGTCAGTTTCTTACCATAGGATAATACATGCTTTTTATAAACAGCCTGGAAAACAAGTGGAGAGAAAACAGCTCCTAGCAGCCCTCACCACAGGACCCTGTGCATTTCAGGGTTCCTCTTACTCCAGAGGGCACAGTGTGGACATGGTGCTTATCCCGCCTCTGCCTGTGCCTGGTTGTAGTTGTAAAGGACATCACAGATGTTTTCCCAAAGCACAGCTGCCCAGTCTTGTTGTTGGAAAGTTGCCTGGGCTGAGAATGAAGTGACACAGGTGTGGGGGCACCAGGAGGGACACCCTGGGGGCGGGGCTCCCTCCTGGGGGTTTTGACAGCCACATCAAAGTCACAGCACCAGGGTCCCTTCCCGTTCTGTGGTATAATAGAGCAGGGACCCTCTGGGAAGAGAGCACCCCTGCTGAAGAGCATCAGCTTGTTTGGCAGGAAGCTTATGCTGACCTCTGACTGCCTGTGGAGACATATGACTGTGACCAGGGTTCTGTGAAACCACCACCATCTGCAGCCATTCTTCGTCCTCCTGACCTGCTGTTTTGGGCCTCTTCTGGGCCCCAGCCCTGGAATCTACATTTTCAAAAGCACCCTATGTACCAGACAAAATTGAGGATCAGTGGACTAGAGCCAGTGCTTTTCTTCTTCTTGGTCCTGGGGATTGAACTCTAGACCTGTACAGTGAACTACATTTTCAGCCCTTTTTATTTTGAGACAGTGTCTCCCTAAGTTGCTTAGTTTCCCAGGCTGGGCTCAAACTTGTGATCCTTCTGCCTCAGCCTCCTGGAGTGCTGGTATTACAGGTTTGTGCCACCATACCCAGTTAGAGCTGTGGGTTTTAAAGTATTCTAGATCAGCAGCATCTTCACTGCTGGGAGCAGGTTAGAAATGCTGGTTCTTGGGCCTCCCCTCATACCTCTTGGGTCAAAGCCTGTTTTATGGATCCCTCTAGTGGCTATGAAGCACCCTTGTCCAGAACCACTTGGTCAGATTGTTTCCAGAGTGATTTTACAGGGTCTTCTGCAGGTGCCTCGCAGGGTGTAAGCTTGGTTCTTACAAGTGCCTCTTTGCCACCACACTTATCCCAGCCCTTGAACAGGAAGGCAGAGCCCTGGCAGCTGTTGTGGTGAGGGGAAGGAAAGGGTGCAGTGGTGTGGAGATGACCAGAGGAAGCAGGGCAGGTTGGACAGGATCATGGAGGGAGAGGGCCTGGATCCTCATTACATTTCTCCCCCTCTAGCGTGGGCTGGCTGCTGTACGTGAGAATTGTCTTGCGAATTGTGCATGCTCAGTCTAAAAAATGAGAAACTTTTGTCAAAAGTAAGAATAGAAGGAAATGTGTCTTTGACATTGCTGGTGGGAACAGCTTATTGACCTTGCTCAGCTCTGTACCATTTGTGTGGTCAAGGAGGTTTAAAGTCCCGTGTGTGTGTGTGTGTGTGTGTGTGTATGACACGCTTAGCTGCTTTGTGTGTAGGGACCATGTGCAAAGGGACTGAGCAGCCAGGAGGCCATAACTAGGCCTTCAAGTCGAACTTGCCTCATGAATAACCCATGGTGTTGAATTTGCAGAGGAGAAATTACCTTCTCCGCTTTGGACTTTAAAGGTTAAAGAAGTGGCCTTTCCTTGATTTTGTAGCTCAGGTTCACATTCTGAGGAAATTGAAGATAGTGTTTTTTATTGTAAAGCTCTTTTCTTATTACAGGTTAGGAAATATAAAGGAAATTAAATTCACCCACTGTCTCGCCAGAGAGGGATGCCATTGTTAACATTTTGATACCAACGCTTTTCCTCCCTCCTGCATGTGCATCTCAAAGGGTGGGTCTCATTTCTCACTGGAACCTGCTTTTTCCTTTCATTTATGGTGTAGTGAACACTTTCCTATGCCATTAAATATTTTTCTACAGCATGAATTGAACTGTCTATATATGATTTATCATGTAGTTCTATTATCAACAATACTGAGTTATTTTTGCCTCAGAATTATAAACAATACCACCACAAACATACTTGGTACATAAGTATTTCAGCAAATGTTGTTTTAGTTCCTTGTGCTAAGTTCCTGACAGGAAGTTCCTGGGTCAAAGGGCGTGAATACTTTGAGGACTTTTGCTCTTGATTCTCCCTACTGCTGGATTTATAGGCCTTTTCTTTTTCTTGCATGAATTGCGCAATTGTGCCCTCCACCCATTGTGGCTGTGTTTAAGACGCAGTGCTCTCTGTTGCTGTTGAACACTGGAGATTTCTGTCTTTACCACCAGCAAAGTCCTGAGATGTTTTCTGTGTGTTCTTGTGAACCCCAGGTCTCCTGCATGCTAGGCAAGTGCTTTTCCAATGAGCTACAGCCCAGCCTGAGATGGTTTGTGTGTTTGTCTGAGTGAACTTCCTTTGTGTTGGGGAGCGTGGAATGACATTTTTGGGATTGTGCTAGCAGAGCTGCCTGGGGGATTGTGGAGGGGTAGAAATCACGGGTTGTGATGGACAGGGCAGGTGGTCCAGTACCAGGACTGGGCCCCGTCCTGTGGGCAGTGGAGCCCATGGACCTGACAGCTGTTTCCATGCTTTGGTGTGAATGCTGTGGTCAGGTACAGTCGAAGAGCACGGTGGG